CTGAGGCCCCTCCTTGGTCGGCCGTAGACGAGTGCCCTTGTGCGCTGTGAGATGAAATCAGCACTGGGGAGACAAAGGTGGATGGCTGTGCCGCCGACCACTTGACACCTGCCGTGTGCCGTGCCAGCCCTAAGCCGAACAGCGATTACCCCAACCGTATTGCCGTACTGGGGAAGGCGACTAAGAAAATATTCAATTGAGAAATTAAGCCCCCCCCCCACTCCCTCATTAATCACACACAAAGTGCTTTCCACAAATGAACCACGATACCTCGCTGACCCCGTCAAGGAGCATCATAGACCATCATCACGCGAACTCCGGTCATCATCCTCGCAGCAGCAGCAGCTTCTGGCTGGCCATCGAACAAAGATGCTCACTGCATAGCGCGCTTTCAGATGCGCTTCTGCGGCCGTCTGGAACGCTCTGCCGATATTAATAAGCCACTGGAGCTATGCACTTTAAATCACGATTGAAAAGTAATTTCTTTAGAACTGCTTTTTTTGTGTTCAGTTGTTTTGTCCTTCCCCCGCGCCTCTGATTAGCACGGCTGGCTACGTACGGTGCGAAAGAAGTTCAACATACATTGTTGAAACAACAGCAGTCTAAGTGGATACCCCCACTTGTTAGTCGAATCGGAAGGTCACGTGTGGTGGGATAAAGTGTGGCTACTCCTCCAATTCCCAAGGCGTCTGGCCAGCGTGCAAGAGACGGACAAGAATAGCCTCTCGAGGGTGGTCTACAAAGTTCCCTCTTAATTCCGTACGTATGTTGAACTTCTTTCCCACCGTACGTAGCCAACCATGCTGATCGGAGGTGCGTGGGAAGGACAAAACTGAACGCACAAAAATCGCTTCCTCCCTCATCGGTCGTGATCCAATTCCTCCAAACAAGAAACAATTCCGTCGTTGGAAAAAACGTTGAAAGTTGCCCAACTCATTTGGCAGCATTTTCCGCCAGCGGTGTCGTGAGCAGGCAATTGCAGGGCCTTGCGCCTTTGGGCCACCCCTTCAGCGATCCACAGAGCGCTCCGCTATCGTGCTGCCGCTGTGGATCGTATCGTCGTGTGCTGCGAAGTGACATGACACGGGCCGTCCAGGGACAGGATTGCCGTCGGGAGCGAGCGCCGTGCCCCTCGTATCGCGCCGGGGACACGCGCGTGATGTGATTGCCCGCGATGGTAAATTGCATTAAAAGCCAGCATCATCCAGACGCTCCCCCCCCCCCCCCCCCCCCCCCCCCCCCCCCCCCCCCCCCCCCGCTGCGGAATGACTTAAAAGCATCCGTTCTGGTTTGCGGTGCCGGGCAAATGCGAGGTTCTGTCTGTGGTCATAGCCCCATTAATCTCCATCATCTCTGCTGGCTCTGGTTCCCTGCCCACGGGACTTGATCTACAAGCAGATTTAAGAATATGTTTTACTTCAACCATTATGGGCGGCTTTAGGTCAGTACTGGTTGAAGTCAAAATTCGAAGTTGTTTCCTACTCAAGGGCACATTGAGATGGTGATCCATCTCTTGTTTACAGCCCTGAGTCAGTGGTGGAAATAATACAATCCTGTGGCAGGGGCGAGTCCATCCGCATGACAACCACTGTTGACTTCCCCAGAGAGCTGGCTCTATTCATTGACCCCAGAGGGGAGGCATGATGGCCTGAGTCAACCCCCCAGCCAGGATTTGAACTCGCACGCTTCCCATTTCCGAGCCACTCGCTTTACCGCTGAGCCACTTGGCTGTTGACCCAGCGGCAAAGCCGGAGGTTAAAGCCGGGAAGAGAAAAAATATATGAGGGTGAAGAGAAATGTGAGTGCATTTGTAAAGTTTTGAGAAAGAGGGCCTCCATTCGCTCTTTGACAAGCGGTGGCTGCTTGCCAAGTGCACTTCTATTCGTTATATAAGGCTAAACGGGGGATCTTTGTCTCTGAAATATTCCGCTGTGTGTTCGTGTGTGCTTGTGTGCATATAACTCGCTGGGAGTTACTTTCCTGGCCCGTTTAACCCATTCACACCCGGGTCTGTCTTATGACCTCTTGCCTGCTCACCTGTTGGCTTTAACCGGGGCCTCAAAGTGCACTTAGCATGGCATAAACACTGGTGACATCATTGCCAATCAGTGGCGTATGCAGCTTGATGTTATGTCTGTGTATATACACATGTATAGGTCGCTCACAGCCACCACCAGTGACGATTATCTCAACTGGTCCTGTGCCTCCCCTATGCCAACTCACCCTCAAATGAGTGGCTGGTGCATTGTGTAAACATCGCCACTAGGGAGACAAAGGTGGCTGGGTGTGGTGTTGACCACCCACCCGCTTCTTTGTGTCGTGCCGGCCTTCGTAGGTGCTCGCTAACGGCACTTGCCCCCACAGTCTGTTACGGCTCTACGGGGGATCCTTTGCCATTGGATTCACATATACACACACACACGGGACCTCTTTGAAAACCCTTTTGATCCGTCATTGCCGCAAGCGGTACATGGTGTTTATTTGTTAAAGCGCCAGAGAGCGCACGGAGAATCGATTCCCCACGGTTCCCGAATTAATTTGCGCAAGACACACAACTTGGGGTAACGGTCACTGTGACCGAGGACACGGACACCCCACACCCCCCAGACCCCCCACCCCCCCACCGCCGTTATTGCACTGAAGCATGGCCGTAGCCATGGAGTCAACATTGGGGGTGACTAAATCTTCCAGGGTGTCTGGGGGTCCCAACCCAGAAAAAGATCGAAATTTGAAAACTCATTTCCTGCCTAAAATATAAAAAAAAATTCACTAACACGTGGGATGGACTTTATTTTTTTACAATAATGTCTAATAGGGTATTGTATTTCATTTCTCTGTTTTAACTTTTTTACCTTTTCTTGTTTCATTGTATGTAATGGCAGAGATTAGGGATGAATAAAGTACAGCCATAGCCACAATCATATAAACAGAAATCTATGCATTGATTTATATGAAGACAAGTCCAGATATTGTGGCCAAGGTTCAGCAAATTGTTGTTTTTATTTACATAGCATAGCAATTATGATTTTGTATAGCAATACATTGGGGGGGGGATGTGTCCCCCCCCAATATATGTATAATAATTACGGCCTTGCACTGAAGGCCCCGGGCGAAGTGGGGTACTGGCGGGGGGAGCCTCGCTGAGCTCTGCGTGACACGGGCAGCGTGGTGGCTTAGGGACGAGGCGGGGGATATGGAGCGAGGAATGGTTTCACTTTTTACACAATACGGCTCGTTGAACTTCTGCGCGTGTGTGAGCGACAGGCTGCTAAAGAGCAGAGAGGACGGGACAGTGGGGAGTACAGCCGTCTGAGTCAGTCAGCCCGTGGCAGCTGGCTGGGTCTGTTCCGTGACATCTCTGCCAGCGAGCCTTCGGCGCTTCACGTGGCCTCAAAGTGCACCTAGCCTGGCACGGGAGCCGTGGTGACGTCACCGCCAGTTAGTGGTGAACGGCGGTTGTTATTATATTGTTATTGATGGGATTGAGGCGAGCAGTGGCGGAGCGATTAGCGCAACTGATCTACGAACCAGGTCACTTCTGAAAAAAAATCTATATAGCTCAGTGGGCCTTACCTGGTAAAATAAAAAAAAATAGTTTAAATCTGTTAAATGTTTTTGTTCCCGAGTTTTTAATGACCCTCGCTTTAAATGCGTTTTAAATCTTCAACGTCACTGTTGTATTGCTGGCCGATTGGCATTTTGCACCTCTTAGGCCATGGGGGGGGGGGTTTCAGGAACTGCGATGGCTTTTTAACTGCGAGCGAGCGCGTGGGAAGAGGGCCGTGCCGCCCTCGCTGCGGCGGTGTCGTTGGAGTCATTACCCTTGACACGTCTCCACGTGTGTCTGTGGATGTATCTCGCTGTGTGTGCGACCGGCCCGGTGCATCGAACCCCCGAACACAAACACACAAAGTCCAGGGCAACCTCACTGAAGCGCCACCTGCACAAGTGGGGTGGAGATTCCCTGGAGAGGACAGTGGGAAAAAAATGAACCCTGCTTTTAAGGGCCTGAAAAGTGTAATGATTTACTAAAGGATGATAAAACCCCCAAAAAGCCAAACATTTCTTATCCTGTCAGATATGTACCTAGGCCGTGTGTCCTTCAATAGTTGGAAGCCCACATTTGCATAAATAGTTTTCGTTTCTTCACGAGTGTTATTTTGATTGTGCTGTCAGCCTCATGTCATGAGACACGTATCCAGGGGTCATTTGAGAACCCTTCAAAGCGACCTCTGCATTTTAATTATTTTCTGCATTGGTTTGTATGTGATTATGTGTGTGTGTGTCTGTGTGTGTGTCGGTAGCGGTTATGTAGCGGTTAGCACACTGCGCTATAAAACTGGCATTCCGAGTTCGATTCCCGCTCACGGCCAACACCAGTGACGATTATCTGAACCAGTCCTGGGCCTCCCCTAGGTCAACTCAGTCGCAAATGAGTACCTGGGACGGTGTCAGAAACATTGCCATGAGTGAGACAAAGGCGGCCGGGCGTGGTGCTGGCCATTCACCCACATCGTGTGCCATGCCAGCCTTCATAGGTCCTCGCGAACAGCACATTCCCCAAAAGTCTGTTCAGCCTATACGGGGGATCTTTGTCTTTGTGTGTACCTCACAATAATGAGCGGAGCACCGGGTGGCTAAAAAGCACCAGGTTAGCATAGGTGGTGTCTGCCAGTCATCGCCATCAACCCATTCCACCTGGGTCTGTTCCGTGACCGGCTGTCGGCAGCGAGCCTTCGACACTTCATGTGGCCTCCAGGTGCACGTAGCCTGGCACGAGCCGCGGTGACACCACTGCTGCTTAGTGGCGAATGCCGGTTGTTGTTGTGTGCATCTCGGTACTGGCCACACCACCACCTCATGCACCGTGCCGGCCTTCATCGGTGCTCGCTAATGGCACTCGTCCCAACGGCCAGAAAAGGCTGAATGGGGGGGGGGGGGGGGGGGAATGGCCTTTGTTTATTTGGTGTGTGTCAAGCGTTATCTTTATCTGTGTGCAGCTGTCAGGTTGTCGCGTCCGTGCGTCCATCCACCATGGGCCTGTCGAGCTTCATCAAGTCCCAGTTTGTGCTGCACCTCCTCATCGGCTACATCTTCTTGGTGAGCGGCCTCATCGTGAACCTCCTGCAGCTGTGCACCCTGCCCCTGTGGCCCATCAACCGCTCGCTCTACCGCCACGTCAACTGCCGCCTCGCCTACTCGCACTGGAGCCGTGAGTGATGGGGACACGGTGGGGGGTGGTGGTGGTGGTGGTGGTGGGGGGCAGCAGTGGGTGTGGGGAGACACGAGGGAGATGTGGTGGGCTGGAGACGCAGGGTGGGCAACGCTTTAGGGGGAAACGGTATAGCCGTGAATGATGGGGACACGGGAGCGAGGGAGACACGGGGGTGATGTTGGGAGGGAGAGAGGAGTGGGGGGGGCGGGGGGTTGACTGGGGATGGGGAGACACGCGGGAGATAAGGTGGGGTGAACACACTTTAGGGGGAAACGGTGGAGGCCCGAGGGGGAGATAATGGGGGAGACATGGAGGGAGATACAGCGTCGTGAAGACACAGAGGGAGACATGGAGGGAGATACAGCGGCGTGAAGACACAGAGGGAGACATGGGGAGTATGCGGTGTGAAGACACAGAGGGAGACATGGGGAGTATGCGGTGTGAAGACACAGAGGGAGACATGGGGGGAGATACAGCGTCGTGAAGACACAGAGGGAGACATGGAGGGAGATACAGCGGCGTGAAGACACAGAGGGAGACATGGGGGGAGATACAGCGTCGTGAAGACACAGAGGGAGAAATGGAGGGAGATACAGCGGCGTGAAGACACAGAGGGAGACATGGGGAGTATGCGTCGTGAAGACACAGAGGGAGACATGGGGAGATACAGCGTCGTGAAGACACAGAGGGAGAAATGGAGGGAGATACAGCGGCGTGAAGACACAGAGGGAGAAATGGGGAGTATGCGGTGTGAAGACACAGAGGGAGACATGGGGGGAGATACAGCGGCGTGAAGACACAGAGGGAGACATGGGGAGTATGCGGTGTGAAGACACAGAGGGAGACATGGGGAGTATGCATGATGAGACGACAGACAGTGACAGGGGACTGGTAGACAACGATGTTGGACTAGGATACAAGACTTATAGGCAAACGGATAACTAGAGTGAGATGAGAGCTGTAGGGAAACCGGGGGGGGGGGGGGGGGTGGGGGGGGGGGAAATGTTACAGAATCCATGCATATGCATAATTTTTCTTCCTTGTCTTTGGGTCGTGCCATCCTTCAACCCCGACACCCTTGCCAAATGTCCTCCCCCCGCCCCCCCGTGTGCACCACACCGCAGAGCTGGTGCTGTTGCTGGAGTGGTGGTCAGGCACCAGCTGCACCATCTACACGGACCCGCAGACCTACGAGCACTTTGGCAAGGAGCACGCCATCGTCGTGCTCAACCACAACTTCGAGATCGACTTCCTGTGTGGCTGGACCGTCTGCGAGCGCTTTGGGGTGCTCGGGGTGAGCGGGCGTGGGGGGGGGGTCCCCCTTTGGGGTGAGAGGGGTGAGAGGGGCGAGAGGAGTGAGAGGGGCGAGAGGAGTGAGGGGGGCGTGTTCCCCCTTTGCCGTTTTCTGCTCCGACCTCATTTTTTCCTCTCTCTCCTCCGTCCACTTCTTCTCTCAGCTCCATTCATCTCCTCTTTGTTTTCTCCTCTTTTCTGCTCCAAGTTCCCCTCTTCTACTCAGCTCCTCCCGGTCCCCATCTCTCACGTCTTCTTGCTTTTTTCATCTCCTTTCCCCCCTTCCTTTCATCACCCCCTCCTTCATCTCTCATCAGGCCACTATGGATTTCCACACGACAGGCCGCGATGTTGAGCCATCGTTTGGCCAGGTCCTGAAAAAGAGCTGTGGGCCTTTTCCTGGTAAAATGAAAAGAGTCTATAGCTTAGTTATTATAAACTATCGATTCATACGCTATATGATTTTGATGCATGTATCACGAGCATATGAATCGCTATGAAACCGCAGATTGTCGTCGCATGCCTACCGGCCCCGGTGTACGCTCGTGACCGTGCCGTGTTGTAAGAGTGCGGGTCGGCTAGAAGTGCAATGTGCGGTGCGTTCCCGCTGCGGTCCACAATCCTGCGGCTGCAAATGTTTAAGGCGAAGTGATCTGCCCCCCCGTCCACGCCCTTGAAACCTGCCTTTCAAAAACAGAGGGCACGAAAATGATAAAAACCGGGACTAAATGACCACCGGGGAATATCCACGCGCGATTCTCACCGAGCGTGCGAGTCATCGGGACGTATAAACCAGTGAGGTGTATCTGATCGCAAGCCGCAATACAATTTTACAGCATTCGCAAAAGATCATCATCATCATTCGTGGGGGGGTCTATGGGGCTAATGTTATTTGATTTTTCTGTGATGAAACAGATCTTGTCTTTTTTCTGTTATTGTACGTGCACTAGTACATATTGCTTTTTGCCAAAAGGATTCGAAAATAAGTACAAAAAATGAATGCAATTCGAGACAAAATAAATGGTGTTGGTGGTGTTGCTGCTGGTGGTGATGATAATGATAGTGGTAGTGGTGATTTTATCTGTATCCATCGTGTTCGTTGTCGTGATGATAGCCGTGGTAATGATGGTCGTTGTTATGATGGTGGTGACGACGGTGGTTGCGGGAATGATGATAGTGGTGTTGGAAGTGATGATAGTGGTGTTGGAAGTGATGATAGTGGTGTTGGAAGTGATGATAGTGGTGTTGGAAGTGATGATAGTGGTGTTGGAAGTGATGATAAGAGCTGTATGTATATATGTAGAACTTCTTTCGCACTGTACGTAGCCAACCGTGATAATAGAGGTACGGGCAAATGACAACAAACTAAATTTAGAAGTTGGTTGTCAAAGTGGTGATATATCGGTGGTGTCAATAATAGTGGTGGTCATGTATGTGATGGTAGTGATTGTAGTGATGGTATTGAGAGTATTTGTTGTGTTGGTGGTGATAGCGTTGGTGGTGGTTGTGGTATTTGTGGAGCGGTAGTGCAGCGGGTAGTGCTACGAACCCGGTGACCTGTGTTCGGTTCCCTCCCACGGCCAACACCAGTAACGATTATCTGAACCGGTCCTGGGCTTCCTTTAGGTCAACTCAGCCTCAAATGAGTACCTGGTGCCGTGTGTGAACATCGCCACTGAGGAGACAAAGGCGGCCGCCGGTCGTGGTACTGGCCACCCACCCTCTTGTGTACCGCGCAGTGCCGGATTATCGTAGTAGCAAAAGTATCATATGCTACGGGCCCCGCACTTTCAAGGGCCCCGCGCTAAATGCTTTCAAGCTATCAATTCCGGTTCAGTGATTCTACACTTGCTCTATTACTATAGTACTATACTGCCTTTAACTTTTACGAACGACTGGGTGTTTAAGGTTAGCGATTTGTCGTATTATCTGACTGTTTCGCAAATGAAAAAATACAATTACTTTACTGTGCAAGTAAAAAATGTGTTTTAATATTTGTGTTTTAAGTTAGGGTCCCTTTATAACATATGCTACAGGCCCCCGCACTAGCTTAATCCGGCACTGGTACCATGCCAGCCTTCATAGGCACTCGCTTAACAGCACTTGCCCCAAAAATGTGTTCAGGTTATACGCGACATCTTTTGCCCTTGGTGGTGGCGATGGCAGTGAGCCCACGTAATGGGCCCTTGCTGTGTCTGCGTCCCCAGAGCTCGAAGGTGCTGGCCAAGAAGCAGCTCTCGTACGTGCCGCTCATCGGCTGGTCCTGGTACTTCCTGGAGATCGTGTTTTGCAAGCGCAGCTGGGCCGAGGACAGTGTGACAGTGGCACGAGATCTGCAGAGGCTGCGTGACTACCCCGAGAACTTCTGGGTACGCGCGCTCACCCGCAAACCTTCTTTTGTTCGTGCGTCTGTCTCTGTGTGCGTGTTTGGTTGGGAGGTGCTCGCTGACAGCACTTGCCCTAAGCTTCCGTTAAGGCTATACGGGGGATCTTTAGTGGTGGGGGAGTGCTGGTGCCGTGGTCATCGCACTGTGCTATGAGCTTGGCGACCCGAATTCAATTCCTGCTCACAGCCAACGTCGATGACGAATATCTGAACAGCTCCTGGGTCTCCCTGCGGCAAACTTGGCCTCGAATGAGAGGCCCGGTACGGTGTTTAAACCTCAGCATTGGGGAGACAAAGGCGACTGGGCGTGGTGCTGGCCACCCACCCCCTCCCGTGCCGTTCCCGCCTTCGTAAGAAGGAAGAGCGTTCCAGATGGCCGCAGAAGCGCATCTGAAAGTCTGTTGAGGCGACACGGGGGATCTTTGTCCTGTCTTTGTCGCGCTCCAGATGACCTCAGAAGTTTATCTTATCGTCTGTAAAGGCTCTACCAGGGGATCTTTCTCTTGTTCTTTGTCGTGTTCCAGACGGCCGCAGAAGTGCATCATCGGAAAGTCTGTTAAGGCGACACGGTAGATGTTTATATCCTGTCCTTGCAGCTCCTCCTGCACTGCGAGGGCACGCGCTTCACACCGGAGAAGCACGCCATCAGCATGGAGGTGGCGGAGAGGAAGGGGCTGCCCAAACTCAAGCACCACCTGCTCCCCCGCACGCGGGGCTTCGCGCTCTGCGTGCAGAACCTGCGCGGGACGGGTGAGCGGCTGCGTTCGCGGGCTTCCTTTTTCCGTGCGCCGCGTGCACCCTTGGCGGCCGTGGTGCTCGCGAGCTGGTCTGATGCCGTTGTCAAGGGGGGGTTGGTACCCGCCGCGTTGTTGTTGTTGTTGTTGTCCGGCGTTGATGTCCGACGGGTTCGTCGCACGCACGCGCCCCAGAGCTTTCGGTGCACAAAAGAAGTTCCGGGCGCGTGGAGCGAAACGTCGGATATCTTTGCTGAACAACGCGCGGTGCAACCCGAACGCGCATCGGAGAGCTTAACCCCTTTCCCGTTCCAATGATGTACTCGTACGTCATCACTTTTTCTTCCGATTCCGTTCCGACGGTGCACGCGTACATCATCGAAACTATACGGGAAGAAAAAATGTCGTGACTTTATCGGTACCGAGGCTCCCATGAGGCCATGGCGTGTGGCACTATTTGGTGCCAGCTATCATAGAGTGCGGTCGTGTCGCTACGGTTCTCTATGGTGAGTAAAACTTTTTTCAAAACAATGGCGCTATGCCTCTCTAAATAAAATGAACGCTCAACCGCTTGCACGTTCTGAGATTGAGCGATGAACGGGGACACCCACCAAACTTGATTCGGCGCTTTCGTGACTGCAGGAATTACTCTTTGTTTTTTTCGGTAAAGTCACGTAGAAATAAGAAATAATAATAAAATTACATGATAGCATACGACGTTTCGATCACAACGCATGATGATGATGATGATTGCTTGCGTTGCAATCGAAACGTCGTATGCTATTATGTAGTTTTATTATTATTTCTTATTTCTACGTGACTTTACCGAAAAAACCAAAGAGGGACACCCACCACCCTGCAACTTTGAGACATCTCAGAACGGGAAAGGGCTTAATTGACCTAATGTGCATTTAAGGCTCTTTTGTCGATCAGCTGTTGGATGAGGGCCTCCCTCGTGCCGTGCGGGTCATGGGGAGTTTATTTCTCCATGCTTCCTCGCCCACGTGCTGAGCGTTGCTCTCCTCAAGCTTTCCCCACGCCCCCCTGTGGGGCATCTTCAGTCGTTGGCCAGTGCAGGTTGGGGCGATTCGAGTGGCCGTAGACGTGAAAGCACAGTGCGAGTACAGCGTTTGGATTTGTTTGCGTCGCTGCTCTCCGCTGACAGTGTAGGCCCGCAAGCAGCCTTCCGCACCTGTTTTGTCATGCTTTGGCAATCGCGCGTGCAAAGGGCTGTCCAGGCACGATCCTGTTGAGCTTGCAAGGGTGCATTCTGAGTGTGTGATTTGATCGTAGACACATACAGGTACACTGTACATTACGGACATTCGACTTACGAACTATCAGAGTACAAACAAACCTGCCCATATGTCCAGTTGCCTGTTCGGACCGAGAGTCGTAAGGTCAACCGCCGCGCGATAGATGGCGGTGGTGGCATCTACATCTGCAGAACTTGAAGACACCAGTGGCATCTACATCTACAGGAGATTATACAACGTTTAAAGCCATTCCCTGTGTTTAGTGTACATGCCGTACAACATGTTTGGAATTGACAGGAGTAAAGTTGGACTGAAGAACAAAAATCGGCTTACGAACAGGCCTCTGGAACCTAACTCGTTCGTAAGTAGTGGAGTCCCTGTATTATCATCATCATCATCATCACCATTTCCGTGGTGTGCATGCGGAGTGCAGTGCCGGCGATCTACGACTGCACCCTCAACTTCCGCGGCCACACGAAGCCCTCCCTGCTGGGCGTGGTGTACGGGCGCACGTACAAGGCGGACATGTGTGTCAGGTGTGGAGCTGTCTCACCACGCACAGCGCTGCTACCACCACCACTACCGACACTGCCAATACCACCACCAATACTGACACTGCCAATACCACCACCACCACTATAGAACACTGCCAATACCACCACCACTACTGACACTGCCAATACCACCACCACTACTGACACTGCCAATACCACCACCACTACTGACACTGCCAATACCACCACCACTACTGACACTGCCAATACCACCACCACTACTGACACTGCCAATACCACCACCACTACTGACACTGCCAATACCACCACCACTACTGACACTGCCAATACCACCACCACTACTGACACTGCCAACACCGCCACCACCGGCGTCATTGTTGCCACTGCTACCGCTCGAGGCTGCCAGGGGTTCACCAATATTATTTTACTTTTTTTTCCAGGAGAATCCCGATGGAAGACATCCCCGAGGATGAAAAGGAGTGTGGAGACTGGCTCAACAAGCTTTACAAAGAGAAGGTAATAAGAATGATGATGATCCTCTTTCTTCTTTGCCTATGACCACATTGCCTGGAATGTGCCGATCGCATCAGATCTTAGAAGCTCAGCTAGGGGGCGAGGCCTGGCTGGCGCTGAGACGGGCGAGTTGCGCACGCCAGGTCATCACGCACACCTGCGGCGCTGCGATGCGTTGTGGGCAGGCACGTGGCAGTGATTGGCTTGGAGCGGACAAATCCCCAGGTCGGTGGAGTGGTAACCAACGCTGGTGCCTCACGGGAAGTAGGGCCAGGGTTCGATTTCCGACCCGGGCGACTTTCCGCGTGGAGTTGCGTGTCAACATAAGCAAAGCGAGAGGCAAGCTGATGAGTATAGGCAAAAACAACATAGGTGGCGACATCATTAATGTTGGTCAGGAGGCATCCGATGTGAGACTTAATTATTTGCGGCAGTTTCAAATGGATGTTACCGGTCTACACAGTGCGATGAACTAGCACGAGAGAATGGACGTTCCATTTGAAGTTGGGTAAATAGCAAACTGAGAACAAAGTGTCTGATACCTCAAAAGACGTGAGAATAGGTTTTCCCTTTTACCTGGCAACAAAACAGCTGTGTTAAGATGTTTAAACACCAAACTGAAACCTTTTACAAGGAATCATGTCTGCATTAACCACAATACTTGTGGTCAGAATGCAAACAAAAAACATACTCTGATAATATACAGTGAGGGAAAAAAGTATTTGATCCCCTGCTGATTTGTATGTTTGCCCACTGACAAAGAAATTATCAGTCTATAATTTTAATGCTAGGTTTATTTGAACAGTGAGAGACAGAATAACAACAACAAAATCCAGAAAAACGCATGTCAAAAATGTTATAAATTGATTTGCATTTTAATGAGGGAAATAAGTATTTGACCCCCTCTCAATCAGAAAGATTTCTGGCTCCCAGGTGTCTTTTATACAGCTGAGATTAGGAGCACACTCTTAAAGGGAGTGCTCCTAATCTCAGCTTGTTACCTGTATAAAAGACACCTGTCCACAGAAGCAATCAATCAATCAGATTCCAAACTCTCCACCATGGCCAAGACCAAAGAGCTCTCCAAGGATGTCAGGGACAAGATTGTAGACCTACACAAGGCTGGAATGGGCTACAAGACCATTGCCAAGCAGCTTGGTGAGAAGGTGACAACAGTTGGTGCGATTATTCGCAAATGGAAGAAACACAAAATAACTGTCAATCTCCCTCGGCCTGGGGCTCCATGCAAGATCTCACCTCGTGGAGTTGCAATGATCATGAGAACGGTGAGGAATCAGCCCAGAACTACACGGGAGGATCTTGTCAATGATCTCAAGGCAGCTGGGACCATAGTCACCAAGAAAACAATAGGTAACACACTACCCCGTGAAGGACTGAAATCCTGCAGTGCCCGCAAGGTCCCCCTGCTCAAGAAAGCACATTTACATGCCCGTCTGAAGTTTGCCAATGAACATCTGAATGATTCAGAGGACAACTGGGTGAAAGTGTTGTGGTCAGATGAGACCAAAATGGAGCTCTTTGGCATCAACTCTTCTCGCCATGTTTGGAGGAGGAATGCTGCCTATGACCCCAAGAACACCATCCCCACCGTCAAACATGGAGGTGGAAACATTATGCTTTGGGGGTGTTTTTCTGCTAAGGGGACAGGACAACTTCACCACATCAAAGGGACGATGGACGGGGCCATGTACCGTCAAATCTTGGGTGAGAACCTCCTTCCCTCAGCCAGGGCATTGAAAATGGGTCGTGGATGGGAATTCCAGCATGACAATGACCCAAGACACACGGCCAAGGCAACAAAGCAGTGGCTCAAAAAGAAGCACATTAAGGTCCTGGAGTGGCCTAGCCAGTCTCCAGACCTTAATCCCATAGAAAATCTGTGGAGGGAGCTGAAGGTTCGAGTTGCCAAACATCAGCCTCGAAACCTTAATGACTTGGAGAAGATCTGCAAAGAGGGGTGGGACAAAATCCCTCCTGAGATGTGTGCAAACCTGGTGGCCAACTACAAGAAACGTCTGACCTCTGTGATTGTCAACAAGGGTTTTGCCACCAAGTACTAAGTCATGTTTTGCAGAGGGGTCAAATACTTATTTCCCTCATTAAAATGCAAATCAATTCATAACATTTTTGACATGCGTTTTTCTGGATTTTGTGGTTGTTATTCTGTCTCTCACTGTTCAAATAAACCTACCATTAAAATTATAGACTGATCATTTATTTGTCAGTGGGCAAACGTACAAAATCAGCAGGGGATCAAATACTTTTTTCCCTCACTGTATGCATTGTCTTTGAAACTGATTGGTCCACACCAGAGACGGCTTTCTTTAGAGCCTAGTCTCAAAACGGTGTTAGACCACATCGCTCAAGAAGTGCTCACTAGTAATGCCGCACACATTACCCCTCTATTTAAGGAACGAAACAGGATTTCTCCACAAATCTGGCTGTCGCCCGATGAAGATAATTGTAATTACTGACGAAACGTCGTACTCGGATGGTAAACGTTGTGGCTTTTCTCTCCAACACACAACCGGTGTGCTGTACTAGTGACGAAATTGGCCACGTTCTGTTTACGTGACAACACTTACGAGTTGGCTGTGTCGGGTGGTGGCGGGTTTTACCGACACATTTGTATATTTATACAATCTAACCCCAACAAACCTTTGTTATGGATGATATTGGTCGCGCAAGCCTACGTGTTAAACTGCACGGCATTCTGTAAAACGATGAGGAAAATAATTGGAAAAAGAAATTTGAGAACACAAAACAAACATGACCGAAGATGTCATAGCAAGAAATGGGAGCATGAGAGCATCAAGTTTCAAGTTTATTTAGTTTAACCAGGTGAGTATTCAAGAGACGAGGCATTAATGTGGCAGTAGGACATGATGATTGCTGCTGTGTATAATAATCCCAATTGTGTAACTTGTGGTACATTTTTTTATTTGACTGGCACATGAATGGTGGAATGACGGCAGGGGATCGGTAACAACGTCCTCTGTGAAGCAGACAACGCCATAGTGTTACTACGGTTACTACACACCAGAGTATTAACCAGGGCGGCCGCTGCTGGATTCGAACCGTGAACCTCTGCAACAAGCGGCAAAAAAGGAGGTTTGTGATTGGCAGTTCAGAATCAGAATCTTTAGTTATGCTGGAGGAATCCGATGAGCTATAAAGCTCTTTTTTTTACAGATGTCCAGTTCACAAATGGTTACCCTTAGGGAGAGAGATGTAATGTTAACATTCTTGGAGAAATAAAATGTAGATCACTATTGCAACAAAAATAATCAAATCCAAGCAATCGACCTTTTTTTTTACATATATGAACAGGAGGAAGTTACATATGTGACACTTGAAAAAGCAAAACGCTGCCCTCTTCAGTATTAACACAGGGAAAGCCGTGACCTGTTCTAGCGCACAAACTTAGCAGACCAATTTTAAGACCGCCCTTGTTTATCGTTTTGACTGCCATGCCGGGAGATCGAATCAAACTGGCGACCCCTCGATCGCAAGTCCAACGCGCGAACCGTTTGTGCCACTGTCGTGGCATCGACGACGAATCTACGCGTCGTTAAAATACCCAGCGCTTATGCCGGGCCGAGCCAGTGGAGTTAAGCGTTCCGGTCACAGTCCTGCGGTTCTCTAGCCCTAGGCGAATAAAAAAAAAACCTTTTGCTTCCACTTAACCGGCAAGGGCTTTCAATTATGAATGAGCCTCGTGTAAAATTAACTTGCACGCGGTATGCTCAAGGCGGCTGCGCGCACACGTTACCGGCTGTTGCATTACGCCCCATCGTTGTCCCCCATTCACGGCGTCCGGGACAATTATTTCCGTGGCCGCGAAGTGCGGCGGACGCGTTGCGCTCACGCTGTGCTGCGTGGAGCCGACCCCAACCAAGTCAGGCGCCTGTGAAGGACAGCTTTGTACCTCATCGGATTTCCTCCAGTGTAAATAACAAAAAAATTCCGATTGTGAAAACGCTCGCCTTTGAGCGCCAGCCTCACAATTGCAAGGCCACGAGTTCAAACCCTGGTCAGGAGTCGACCACATCGTCATCAACACCACCACCAGCAGCAGCATCCCCCGGGGGTTGATATCACAGTTTGTCGTTTACCCATTATCGTCATTGTTTCTGTCTCTCGGTGTAATCCCAAGTGTGCATTTCCATGCTGTGCACGCACTTTTCAGTGTTTCTTCCATTTATGGACGTGTTTCTGAGCCGTATGTCATGCTTGGGTAGTTACGCACTTTTTGAAAGCTTTCTTCTGTAGGCCCCATCGCGATGTAACTTTTTGCCTGTGACGTCAGCTTTCCAACAGCACTCGAAGCTCCTCTCATCCACCTCTGCATCATGATGTTACGTTTCTACCGTTAATCGTTGCTCTCGGGACACAAATTGCTCTGCTGATACTTCTTACAGGCGTTCCTCTGACCAATATGTGCAATTATTTAGCAATCTGACCCCTGGGACTTTAATTAAAATGATAAAATATGCAGCCAAAACTAAATAAACTGTGAGCAGCACAATCAAAAGTGTGACTGATGAAGGCAATCGTTGGTACCTTATATTACTTTAGAGCCATACGTATGTGTTTTTAATCACGGTACATTTTAAGACTTGCATATTACGTGTTTAATTTTTTTGTGGCTATCATCTAAAAAAGAGCTATATAGCTCGGTGGGCCTTACCTGGTAAAATATAATTAGTAGTATTTTAAAAAATATATATTTGTTTTAGTACGTGTAAAACAAAAACAAAATATTTTCTAAGGATGATCTTCAGGAGGACTACGAGCAGTCGGGCAAATTCCCGGGACAGATGTTCCAGCCACCCAGACGCCCGTGGGTGCCGCTGAACTGGGCCTTCTGGGCCTCGCTCCTGCTGTCGCCGCTCTTCCACTTTGCCGCCGGCGTTGCCACGAGCGGCTCGGCCCTCGCCATCGCCGGGCTCATCGCCGTCGTCATCGCTGGTGAGCGGCTGCCTCCTCAGCCTGCCAGCAGCCGCCACTGCTGCCTTGCCTGCCCTGCCTGCCGCCTCCGTGTCTCTTCCTGTCACCACTGAGTGTCTCTTCCTGTGGGGAGCGGTAGTGCGGCGGTTAGCGCGCAGCGCTACGAACCTGGCGACCCAAGTTCGATTCCCGCTGACGGCCAACACCAGTGACGAATATCTGAACCGGTCCTGGACCTCCCTTAGGTCGACTTAGCCTCAAATGAATACCTGGTGTGGTGCGTAAACATCGTGACTAGGGAGACAAAGGCGGCCGGGCGTGGTGCTGGCCACCCACCCCCTCGTGTGCTTTTCCAGCCTTAATAGGTGCTCGCTAACAGCACTTGCCCTAACAATCTGTGAACGTTATATGGGGGATCTTTGTCCCTGTTATAGATAGGAAGTGCCCTAGCCACTGCACTACGAACCCAGTGACCCAAGTTTGATTCCAGCTCGGGGTCCAATAACAGTGGCAAATATATGAACCTTAAATGAGTACCTAGGGGAGACAAAGACAGATTGGCGTTTGCTTGGGTGCCGTGCCGGCCTTCATAGGTGGTCGCGGTGGCGAGATATTAAATTCCTTGCCTGGTATGCAGGAGGTTGTGGGTTCGATCCCAACCCTGGTGCCTGTATATTTGGAGTTTGTGTGTCTCTCCCCGTGGTCATCTGGAGTTTTGTCTGGGTTCTCCGGTTTTTCCCCTCCTCATTTATAAACGCGCGTTTAGAGTATTTGGCTGCTACAAATTTCCACGTGATGATCAGCCACTTGGTTGGGCTATCGTTTGTGGCCAGGTTGCTTCTGAAAAAGAGCTATATAGCCCAGTGAGCCTTACCTGGTAAAATATAGTTACAGTTACTAGTTAACAGCACTTGCCCCAGCAATCTATGTAGGCTAAACGTGGAGCAGGGGATCTTTGTCTTTGTATAAGCGTGTTAAGTGTGGTGGTGGTGGCTTGTGAGCACTCCCAGAGCGTTTGGGAGACCCTGCAAATATTAAATCTCCGATCAGGACGGTTGCGAAATAATTTCCACGTACAGTACATAACGTACGTACGTGACCACTGCACCGCCCTGCCAAATGTGCGCTTGCACAGGCATAAGTAGGCCAAGTCCGGAATTAACACCGTATGCTTTATGTATTTATTCAGTGGGAAATTAAGCCCCCCGCATTACACACACACACAAACAAAGTGCTTGCCACAAATGAACCGCGATACCTCACTGATCTCGTCAGCGAACTCCGGTCATCCTCGCAGCAGCAGCAGCGGCGGCTTCTGGTTGGCCATCGAACAAAGACGGTCACCGCATCGCGCACTTTTCAAATGCGCTTCTGCGGCCGTCTGGAATGCTCTTCCTTCCGATATTAGGAAGCCACTGGAGCTATGCACTTTTCAATCAGGATGATTTAAAACTGGTTTCTTTCGAACTGCTTTTTGCGTTGAGTTTGTTGCCCTTCCACCCGCACCTCCGATTGGCACAGTTGGCTACGTACGGTGTGAAAGAATTTTAACATGCGTACGTACATACATACGCACAAACCCTTAAGTGGGGGGTGGGGCTTTGCTGCATAGCTTAACCTCTTGTCGCTTTCACCGTTTGTGCCTCCGTTCTCTGGTGTGCAGCGTCGGTGGGGGTGCGCCAGCTCATCAGCGTCACGGAAATCGACAAAGGCTCCAGCTACGGAATCAACCAATCCAAGAAGGGCAGTTAAGAGAGTACGGAAGCAGCGCAGTGTCCCATGACCCCCAGTTGCGTGGAGATTTTAATAATAATACTGTTGATAAATGTTATAAGGAATATTAAATAAAAATGAGCAAAAGCTGGAATCCGTAATGCTGCCAAAAATTAATTATCGCAGTTTTTAATTAAATCTGATTGTTCTATTTTATTTTTCTTCATGTACATTTTGCCTTGGCCTTATCAATTGCTTCTGCAGTCGATTTTTTTCGAAAGCTCAGAAATATGTTTCCGCCCAAAATTATTCCCCCCGCATGTGCACACATATCCGTGTTACGATAAACAAAGAACGCATTTCCTGAGGCCGGAGGGCATCGGGTTCCACCTTGATATCCCCTTTTCCAGCTGCGTCAGTGCAGGGCCCTCTGCGGTAACTACGGGTGATCTTCCGCTGGGCATTTGCCATTCCGAGCCAGAACCAAACCGCCGCACACTGTTCTCGCAAGACGTCTAAATCTGGCCGGTGGCCCAGCAGGGCCAGGGGCGGCGGGGGTCTAATGACGTCACGCAGTACGCATCGCCTGCGTGCGTCTCAACTCGTTCGTTGAGCGTGTGATGTCAACCGCATGCCTTGGCTTCTGCAGTGGGAAAACCGACCCTTGGGGCTCTCCTGATCCGTGTCGGGCCTGGCCCCGGCCTGGCCCCGGCCTGGCCATGGCCTGGCCCCGGCCTGGCCCCGGCCTGGCCCCGGCCTGGCCTCGGCCTGGCCCCGGCCTGGCTTGGTTGTGCAGTGGGGAAAAGAAAACAGGTGTTTGAGAACCTTTAAAAAAATCATGTTGCCTTTGGCCCCACCAGCTGTTGAATCGTGACTAATGCACTGCTTGAAAGGGTTTCCTGAAGATGATTTTTTAGACAACTTGCAAAGAATCGTCGTGTTACTTAAAACAGAAGAAAACATTACTTGGAAAATAGTTGAAGCACACTTTTTTCTTAATTTAAAAAAATATATGTCTCTGGAAACACGCTTTCTCGTGTACGCTGGGCTTAAAGGAAAAACAAGGCACTGAAAGGCACTTAAACCTTTATCATTCTCATATCTGTTGTTTACAAACGACCAATCAAATCCGTACATCTTCGGAAAGCAGTGCGAAGCGCAAATTATTCGCTTGAAATCAAGGAACAATAAAATGATCGAATGACATATTTTATAATCATGGAACTCACAAACATGTGCCTAGTGGCGAGTACACCACTCGTTACGTAAAAAATGTAATGGCTCGGTAGAGCGAGTGAGTGAGCGCGGCCGCGTCCGCATGGCTTGCCATGCCGCTCGCCGTTGATGTGTGCTCATGCCGTTCGTCACGGAAGAGTTCAATGTTTACGCCTTTGAGTGCAAAGTGTGTGTGTGTCGTACGGGCGCGCGTGACCTTAAGCGCGTGGGTTTCGACGCGACGCGTACGCCTGCATCGCGAGCACGCGCGGCGCAGCGCGTTTATGCAGCCTGTGTGTGTGTGCGCGCGTGCGTTGTGCTCGACTTATATACAGATTCCCCCCCCCCACCGCCACCCCCACTGTGTAGCCTTTTCGGGTCGTAGGAGCAAGAGCTGTGTAGCAGCCTATGAAGGCCGGCATGGCGCACAATGGGGTCGCGTGACCAGCAATCATGCCTTTGTCTCACCAGTGCTGGTTTTTAGATACTGCCCCAGGTACTTATTTATGGCTGAGTCGACCTAGGGGGAGGCCCAGGAGCTGTTCAGATGACCACCGCTGATGTAGGCGGAAATTTAACTCGGGTCGCCGTGTTTGTTGTGGCACAGTTGCGCCAAGCACCATACTGTCGCTCTCCACTGCTTGTGTTCATGTGCGCACACATGCAGTTGCTGCCCAGTGCACAGTTACGTACGCGGATACACGCATATACGCACACAGACGTACACGGTAGTGGCAGTCACGATGGCGAGATGTTAACTACTTCGCCTGGTATGCAGGAGGTCGTGGGTTCGATCCCAACCCGGACGCCTGCTGTATATTTGGAGTTTGCACGTTCTCCCCGTGGTCACGTGGATTTTTCGCCGGGTCCTCCGGTTTTTCCCTCCACATTTAGAAACATACGTTTCGAGTATTTGGCTGCTATAATTTTCCACGCGACAAGCCACTAAGTTGAGCTAGCATTTGTGGTCAGGTCACTTCTGAAAAAAGAGCTTTGTATAGCTCAGTGGGCCTTCGCTGGTAAAATAAAAAGTTTAGTTAGTTTAGTTTTAGTAAAATATCAAAACGTCGGATTACCCCAGGCTGCACCAAGCACACGAAGTCGCTCGTCTGTTACCAGCAATTCCATGTTCCTGTGGCAGGGAACAGTTTGTCCATAGGGTGACAACTGTTCGACTTAACTGCATGCAGCGGTGCTGCCTCATCAGATCGTACTGATTGTTCACCAACCAAAAAAGTTATGGCGATGAGAATTTTACAAACCCCAACTGTACCAATGAGTTCCCAACTGAGACTGCTAAACCAACAAAATGAAATTCGTCATCGGACATTGCCTCCGTTCACGTGAGTTAAATGTGTGTGCCTTGTGGGGCGGTAAATCGTGCAAATTATCCCACCTCTGGGATGCTGTCATGGTGAGCACACTCCACTTGCAATCCAGAGGTCGCCGGTTCGTTCTCCCGGCGCGGAAGTCAAAACAATGGGCAGATTTCTTAAATCCATTCCCCCCGCCATCTTTGCCCACCCAGCGGCATAAATAGTTAACACGGCAGTCGATCAGTAGGGCATGAGTGGTTGGGTAAAGTGCGAGTACTCTCACCAGAATTTCGGGCCAGCATCCTCGAGCAGGCCAAATGCTCTCTCGAGAGAGGATCTCAAGGGCTGCCTCTAGTGGACGCCCTTCTTCCAGCAGTGGCGTGAGCGGGTAATGGCAGAGTGCTGCACCTTTACCCATGCCACCTCTACCAAGGTGTGGGGTGAATTCCCGTTCACGTGGCGAGATTAAATGAGCCCTCTGCTGGAGGACTGACTCTGTCACCCCCCCCTCCCCACGCATACGTATCCACGGACAAGCGGCCAACCTTTATTCGTTTCAACTGCCCCCATTCACAAGCCTCCCCCCCTCCCAGGACACGACTTGAATATCGTGACGCTGCGTTCATGCGACCGTCTTTGCTTTGTAAGAGTTCTGTTTTGGGTGCGCCGTGTGTGTGACCTCTGGGCGCGTGACAAAACGTTACTCGCGCGCGGACGCGTTTGCTGGTGCGCGTTTCAAAAGAGATTGTTCAAGAAGGAGGACTTGAGAGAAATAAAAAAAACCGACGGCTACTCTGTGCCGTCTGTTTTGAACGTGTGATGCATCGCTTGCGTGTAATCGTGTTTGAAAGAAGAAGAAAAACGTCCTGTGTGGAGTAAACTATGGTAAATCATGTGTGGAATTCTATAATTTAGCATATTGCACGAATTGTGACTTGTTACACTATCGGTGTCGCGTCGTATATGTTGAACTTCTTTCGAACCGTACGATGCCAACCATGCGAATCGGCGGTGCGGGGGAAGGACAACAAACTAAATCCAAAAAGCAGTTCTAAAATAAATGAGTTTTAAATCTAGATTCGTAAGCGCATAGCTCCAGTAGCTTCCTAGTATCGTCGTTACCACCACCCCCCTGCGAGTCCTGTCAGCGGAGGGTCGTGCGTTATGCCATGGGGACAGCAGTGTAAGACACTTCGGCGTCAGATGACATCCCATGATAGTCTGTAAAGAGTGGTTTGCCCAACTGAATCACCACCACTCCCACTAATCATGACGATATGAATCTCACTAATCGTGTCACGTCTGACCCCGTTTTTGCCTGATCACAAATGCTGTGAGGAATTGTAAATAAAGATTTTACTACCCAACTGTGACGTTGTGCATATGTGTGTGCAATGGTTAGAGCGTTGCGCTAAGAACCCGGCGACCCGAATTCGGTTCCCGCTCACGGCCAACACCGGTGACGATTATCTCAATTGGTCCTGAGCCTCGCCTAGGTCGTCTCAGCCTCAAATGAGTACCTGGTGCGGTGTAAAAATATCGCCACTAGCGGCCGGGCGTGGTATTGGCCACCCACCCCCTCGTGTGCCGTGCCGGCCTTCATAGGTGCTCGCTAACAGCACTTGCCCGGACAGTGATAAGGCTATAAGGATCTTTGTCTTAATTATACACCTACTACAATGGAATGCTCCACCACGGCTCCCCCCCGCCCCCTGGATTCGAGGGGTGCTATGGTACAATCCACAACCAAGAACCAAGGGCAGGATTTAGGGGGGCCAAGAATGCCAAAGGAGCCCGTGAAAATAACATCTTCCCTGTGCCATGCTTTTCTCAAAGATGTTGGCGATCATGGCTTACCATTAGCTCTATTTATAATTTTAATCGAGAAATATACACGACCAAAAAACATTACATTTTATAATTAAACATAGAATGTATTCACGGTGGGTTATAGGGACACCAATTATAACATTGACGGCAAGTATTTAAAAAAAAAGATTCATGATGGATACAATTTCGTGTTAATTTGCGGTAATTGTCACTTCGACGTAGACTAGCGGTTGGTAACCAAAATAACGAGCCATTCTTTTAGTTATTTGGTAAAAAACTCAATATTTCAAGAGGCGCAATACATGTGAAAGGGAAATGGTGGTCCTTAATAAATAACGTCACGAAGCAGGTTATCGACCCCTGCCCATGTTAAACTGGACTGCCATGGTAAACTGGATTTTCCATGGTAAAATTTTATTTCCCATGGTAAAACTGGACAGCCATTGTGTAACTTGAATTACCATGTTAAAACTGGACTTTCATGGTAAAATTGGAAATCCATAGTTCAACTGGACTCCCATGGTAAACTTGGACCTGGCATGGACTCCAAAGAATATATTGCTTCAATAATTTTACAGCCCAGCTCTGAAACTTGAGTGTGGCTGCGAGAGAGGAGCGGGAGGTCGCTCCCCGCGGACAAAGAAGGGATCCGTCACCACAGCGGGGCCCGCTTGATCATCCCCTTCCAGCCGAGAGACTCTGCGGTCTGACCCACACATGGGGAGGGAGATCACAGCGCGCCGCGTGTGTGTGTGTGCGCGCGCGTAGGCAGCATTGGTTCACACAGCACCGCAAGAGGGGTTTACAGCTGTGGAAAACGCACACTTCTCGCGCTGTACGCCGCGGTTAGTAGTAGATGCGTCCCCAAATTAATAAGTAATATTTAACAATAAAAATGTAAAACACGCTTTTATTAAATGTACCGTACTAGTAATGGAAGAACTCCACGACTCCAGGAAGTGGCCCCGAAGCTTGCCATAACGTAAGGGAGCGTGGTGATTTATAGCCAACGTCAGTTGAGCGTGGACAATTCGACCCAAGCCGAAACATAACATATAAAAAATAATGTTAAAAAATATATACTTTAATGATATAATATAGTATTGTCATCAGTATGACATAAGTATACCAAGTTTGCAGTCGATACCACATTGGGAAGTGGGTTAAAATTGAGTTGCAAGATTTGAGGATACAACAGACAGAGAGTGAGTTAATAAAAAGCGTGTAAAATAATAACACAAATTTAAAGGGGCGCGATCAAAAGCGAAAAAACCGCGAGACGAACGCCTGCCGAGTGTCGCGCAGGGTACGCTCACACATTACTGCACCACGTCCGGCCGCATAGCCACCCGCATATAAGTGATTTCAAATCGCACGCATTGGGAGAATTTCGGGTAGACCTAAGTTAGGCCGCGTATGTTGAACTTATTTCGCACGGTCCGTAGCCAACCGTGCTATTAACATCGCGTAAATAGAGCCGCGTGTATGTGTGTGCACAGGTGTTCCGTGTGTACACATGTCCGCGTGATGCAGACAACGTTTATTGCTTAGCGTGTCACTTGGGACGTGTTGAACAATCATCGGGCGCGTGCAGCGTGGAACGAGTTAATTAGTATTTGAAAGGGGAGTAAATTGGTAAATGCGGAAAGCCGTATTTCGGTGGGTCGCGAGGACTGGCGTTTGGGAAACCTTTGACCTGGAGAGAGCCCAAATCAAGTTCAAGATACCAATAGCTGTGGTTCTTTCGGTAAAGTCACGTAGGTATAAAGTAAAATAAATTACGACGTTTCGGGCGCAACACAAGCGTCCATCATCAGGTGGGAAAGCATGGTCTGCTGCTGAGGCAGACTGTTTTTTAAAGGTTTGCAATGGGTGTAGCTCAAGGGTCATAAAGAATTTACGTGA